ACTGTGCATAAATGTAAAACTACAAGTAGCGATATAAAATGTCCGTAAGTCTCTTTTTCATAGATTTAAACTGTTTTGTTTAAAAAATTCTTAAAAATGTTGCTTTGGCTTTGTGTTTAACAACAGTTAACCATTTTGAGATACAAAAAGGGAAACCCTGACGAATTTATTTTTTAAAATTTGCAAGGTGTTTGAACATTTATGTTTATTACCATACCCTGATCCGCTGCCACCAACAATGGCAATTCTTTTTCCACTGGGAACTGTAAAAGATAGGCCTTGCAGGATAGGGTTGCCAGGGACATAACTAAAGTGGATATTTTCAAATCGAATCTCCGACTCCTGCGGGGTGCAAACCAAATCAACTGCATCTGGCTTGTCCTGAGAAGAAAACCTCACTGAGAAGATCTCTCTTGCTGATTGAGAGCATTCACAACTTATCGATCCATAGACTAACTAGTCTGTGGATCAGCTTGTTCTGAATGTGCCCTAATTGTCATGTACTAGTAACAAAGCCAGAGACATTATCAATAACACATTTATATAGTTCATGATCTAACATGTATACTTTTATTGAACTTTCGTACCCCAACTGTACATGCCAGTATTGCCTTTATTGCTTTTCATATACAGGGAAATCGTATTGCTACCTATATTATTAAGTCACACATGTCACTTTCAACCCCTCTCCTCCACCCCACACTCCATCCCCAAAGAAGTTAAGAAATATTATAAAAGCTTCCTCTACCTTTATCAAAGAAGTCTCTCCTAGAAGTTTAAACATGCTCTGCATGTCAATGAGATTCTGTTGCACTTCCCTGTAGCTGGAGCCGAGGAGATTAAGAGGCAAGGACAGCTGGAACAGCAGTGTATTCACCATCACCAGGTCACCGACTGTCATCGTACCTAGCATTATACAATAACATTAAAAGTCATGACCTCTGCCAATGAAGGATTCAAGGTTATGTTTTCATCATCATCTTTGAGTCCAAGACTGTTTATTAGTGGGATATGTTTCATAAAGTTTCTTAAAAGATTCTTCACATTTGTTTTTGAAAACCTTTGTAGGAAAAAAACAGTTTTCAGGAGGGGCAGAAGTGGTTTCATTTTCAAATGAACCCAGACCTTGTAATTTTGAAATAATACTTATTTTTTCACTCTTATTTATATATTGCCAGTGAACTTCTGCTTTCCTGGAATGATCATCTCTCATTAATTTCATTATAAAATTGGAATATTAAAAGGCTACTATCATACAGAGAAAATTGATAATTAGGACATCGCTATTCATGCCATTATCTTCAGTTATACTGTGAATGGCTGGCCCAATTCTTCAAACTGCATATACCATTTAATACAATTTTATTTTAAGTTTGCCAGGTGGTGAAATCAAGTCACAAAACACCATGACATACCTACCAAATACCATGACTTAACTACTAAATCCCATGACATACCCACATACTATGACAAACCCACTTATAAAATACCATGACGTACCTTCTTTAATTCCATTACAGGCAATTAGCATTCCCGTGAATATACCTATATTCAAAATCAAGTTCTGGGTCCCATTCAACAGGGCTAGGCTGTAAGCTATCTTTATATTAGAATCTTCAGACTTAGCTAGAGGTTCATCGTAGCGTTTTGCCTCGTATGGTTCGTTATTGAAGTACTGAAACATAATGACCAGAAAGAGGTATGAGGGTGCATTTACAATGAAACTATCGTACTAGGTAGTTTGAACAAAATCCATGGGGACTCTTGTTGAATGCAATTAACAGATTAACACGCCTCCTCCTGGCATTGGGTAGAATACAGAACAGCTGGTGTTGATACGAGTACGTTGTTAAGCGTTTTCACCTTACCTTGACTGTTTCATAGTTAGTTAAAGAGTCAAGCAGTCTATTTCTTGATAAATCGTCTGCTCTCTGCATAGCTTTCCTGAATTTTGTTCTACAAAAAATTTAACAAAATTTATGAATCTGGTTTCTACATATATGTTAAAGAAGATCTTAATATATACATCAAATAACACATACATGCCATGCCAATACTTGTATCTTTTACTGAAAGTGACATTTAAATTTTGAATGACCACTGAAAGTTAATAAACACAAAATTTTCTAAATCTTTTATCGGAAGTGATATTTAAATTCGGAATGACCACTTAAAGTTATTAAACACAAAATTTCCCAAATCTTTTATCGGAAGTGATATTTAAATTTGGAATGACCACTGAAAGTTATTAAACATAAAATTTCCCAAATTATTCTCTTTAAATTTATCCATGTGAATGACATGATACTGGATACTCCAGAAAACCACAACCCTTACTGTCCAAGATTTAAAATTCAAAGCAAATATTTCATAAAACCAAAAAGATATGTATTTACCTCCAAGTAGTTATGGCTAAAGTTGTAGCTACATACAGTCCAACACAGCCAAGAGTAGCTAAGGCAAGGGTCCCACCAAACTTGTAATACTGGAATAAAAACAAAATGCTATTCTTTCACCACATATCTACTTAAAGATAACAGGGAAATACACTGACTTGGAAATAAACCCACTTCATTTTTTTGTTTGTTTGTTTGTTTTGTGAGATAATCCAAATGTACAAGTCCTTAATGTTAAAGTTATGAAAAACATGTGAAACACTTCCGCCATTGCAAAATATTTGATAAAGTTATTTTTCCATATTTTTCATATTTTTCCATAACAATACAACTGTACACTGATAAGAAAGTTCTACCAAATCAACTATGATATATGTAAATAACACAGAATGACCTCCATAAAGTCAGCGACTAGCAGACTTGCCATAAAAACAGTGACTAGCATGACTTACCATGATGCAAGTGACTAGAGTGACTTCAAATAAGGTAGGTATTAGATTCACTACTAAAGTAGATAGGATGGAACTGATGCCCCTGGAATAAATGAATAATCATGTAACAATAAAGAAAAAGTGACATGTATCATGTTAAAATCTTAGATAATTCACATTCACACTTAAAATATAATGCAGAATGTATACATCTGATATCTAGAAGACTGTCATATTTTGTCATTTGTAACAGCTTCAAGGGAAGTAAAAGCATCTGATAACCTAATGAAATATCCGAAAAAATGGTTTAACCATTACCAAAGGCCAATAGCATTGATATCATTGCAATGTAAGACTATGGATACATAATGACTATACATCTTCAGATTTTTTTTCTTCAATGTAATAATTTTTTTTATTTTGCAATGCAATGGACTGGACTTTTTTAACTGAATTCTGGTATAAACTAAACTTAATTCAATCTTTCAATTAAATCTACAAAACTACAAAAAAAGGGGGGGGGGTAAAAACATACTTCGATCCCCTGTTAACTGCATCAAGAAGTGCTCCCGTTTTCCTCCCCAGATGAAAGCTGAGGTCTAAGCTGTGAAGATGGTGGAATACTTTATTTGCGACCTGCCTCACAGACCTCTGGGATACCTTGGAAAACACACAGTTACGCAGCTCGTTACAGACACTAGCAGTCACACGCGCAAGAGTATCTGGAACGAAAGTAAGAAAAAATGTCAGGCAATAAATGGCAATACTGTCGTTGTTGCACAGTATCTGATAAACAAGGACATAACATGTCATCAGGATCAAGATAACAAGATTTTGCATCTGAACCAAAAAACAAATATTTTCCAAGGGAAGATATGAAATTCAATATATTAACCAGTACTGCTGCCTTGGATACTAAAATACAAATGTATAACAAAATAGCACATTGTTTCCTTTAATTAGTATATAGCCAATGTATGGCATACAATGCCTACAAACAGACCTAACAAATATCTATATAAAATTTATCTATCAAGAAATTTACAAAAGAAATGCATACAAGGGTTTTCTCTCCCCCTGTATCTTATATCTGTTGATACAAGGATTAACCACCTATAACTTACATGATACTACCAATATAAAAACCATATCTGCAGCTTCACCAACCACGTTCAAAGCATTTGTTTGCTCATTCAAGTTATCTACCAGACACTTGAATATGTAAGGTACGGTGACTGTCACACCCTGAAAATAACAAACAGGTTCATAAAACAATTTGAAGAAATAGAGTACTGTACTTTAAAATTACTAAAAGCTAGCATACTCATAATTAAATGCTTCAGCATTTGAACTCATTATTTTAATATGGTAGACATCATTACAAAAGCAAGGATAAACTGACATAATAGAATATTTATTATTATATTTTCTTTAGTTTTTGACAAATAAAATCAAGCATAAAGGAAGGGAAGATGAAAGAGGGAGAGGGGAGGGGATTACAGTTGCACGCAGGCAGACAGTCAGATAGACAATCATTTCCAAACTTTCTGGCTTTAGAATGCACATTAGGTTCCTTCTAGGGCATTACAGTATTTAACTTGGCTTAATAATTGAATGCTTTTAGATGAATCAAAAATTCTAAACTCTAAATAAGAAACTTAATGAAACAATACTAAATAATGCATTGCATTTACAAGTACCATCATTTTGTTTGGGGAAAATGATTTTGTTTGAAAATGATCTATTATCTCTTATAATAAGTACTGCTTTCCGGTGCTCCCCAACATGTTTCAGCAACTTCACAACCTACCTTAGATGCAACCAATAATGAGGCAGTAAGGACCACTCGAACCCTGCTTCCAGGATCATTTTCTGGCCAAACAAAACGCATCAAATTGCGCAAAACCTGCCAGTTGTTCACATCTTTCTCCTTGCTCCCTGATAATATGTCCACAGGAAGTTTTCCCTTGGCATCAATCTGACCTTTTTGCTGGTCTGGTCCGTCAGAGAAGTGGTTTATTTCTTTCTTGTCATTCTTTGAAAGAGTGGTCCTTTTTTCCTTGTTCCCAGCCTCACTTCTTTGCTGGTCAGACCCATCAGAGGTGTGGCCATATCTGCAGACACCAGTAACTTTGGTTTCAGAGAGTACCTTAAAATATCGATTAGACTATTCACATTCAACTGTGTTTCATGCATATAATGCCAACAGTTGGATGCAGTTGCCATTCATTAAACAAGATTTTAAAAAATGATGGCAAAGATTGATTTTCAGAATGTTTGTTAGTCTAAAGATAGAGAACTAGCATTAACAAAATAATATTGCATTTCAAATGTTACACGAAAAATAATTCAACATTCCTATAATATGTATATAAAGAATTTTTGACTCTCCTATTAATCTATTTGCTACGTATTTAAATCAGAGTTTTCACCTCTAATATAAAAACTAATGCAGAGCTAAGTTCAGTATACCCAATTGTGCATGATGACTTCAAATTCAGTGGCTCTGGCAAGAACCCTAAATGTTTTTAAACTAAATCTTACATGATTTGAATGGTTAAATAATAAATGACAAGTGAGTGCAAGCACCATCAGAAGACTCTTTGGAGGTGCAGGGGAAATAAAAGCAATGTTTAGCTTTTTCTAATCAAAATAGCAGANAAGATTGATTTTCAGAATGTTTGTTAGTCTAAAGATAGAGAACTAGCATTAACAAAATAATATTGCATTTCAAATGTTACACGAAAAATAATTCAACATTCCTATAATATGTATATAAAGAATTTTTGACTCTCCTATTAATCTATTTGCTACGTATTTAAATCAGAGTTTTCACCTCTAATATAAAAACTAATGCAGAGCTAAGTTCAGTATACCCAATTGTGCATGATGACTTCAAATTCAGTGGCTCTGGCAAGAACCCTAAATGTTTTTAAACTAAATCTTACATGATTTGAATGGTTAAATAATAAATGACAAGTGAGTGCAAGCACCATCAGAAGACTCTTTGGAGGTGCAGGGGAAATAAAAGCAATGTTTAGCTTTTTCTAATCAAAATAGCAGATAAATCGTGTTCCTTTCCCAATAGACTGTTCTGACTATACACATAGATTGCACTGCAATGACCACGGCCACGTAATGGCTGGTGTTTTAGATCTGTGGCGGGCGCTCATTCTATATTTTAACTACAGTACCCCCCACAACCCCACCCCGCATTCCCCTTCCAGTTAAATCAGGGCTAATTGCTGTGCGAGTTCAACATATTTTGTTATGTACCTGGTAACCTGGACCGATTCCAAAAGTCTTTGGTCGCAGAAAGGAGCACTGTGGAAATCTTCTGTAATTACAACTGTGAAGAGATTTGGATTTATCTATACAGGGGGTGAATTTACTACAGCGTGACAGATCAAGTCGCTGTAGTAGACGAAACACTGCCATGACCTTCAACTCAGACACAACTGTAGATGGCGACATAGGGCTGTAAACAAAATATACATCCGCTAGCATCTGACAAAACATTTCAACTTTGAACACGTAAAACATCTCTTGGTACTTATATAAAACCATTCATTGTTAGAAAATGGCCCAATGTTAACAAAACATAGATATGTATTCTTATTAAAAGTGATTGAATCTCCGTGGTTTATATTTTGCAGCGTAGAAACTTGTGCGCTACGCGGTTGACCATGTGTACATCAGCTAACAGTAGCTGCAAAAACGTGTATTTGTCTCTTACCGACACTTACCGAGCAAGGTGGAGAAAATGGAACCAGATCTGATTCAAAATTCAGTTGCACACGAAACACAAGATGATTTAGGACCTAATCTCATACGAATGAAAATAACCGACCAAATAAAGGAATTACAGACAGTGCTTCGCGACAAGTAAGTTGAAATATTGTACTAGTAAGCATAAATTTGTTAATGTTAAAATAATTTAAACGGCACGTGCACCGGTGCTACTTCACAATGGATTCTTTATTTTGTCAAACAGTTAACAAAAGAAACTATCAAGTAACAATTGTGCCCATTTTAATAAATGCCAAGCGCTTATATTTCAGTAACCTATTACGTATTTGAGTTTAAAATTTTTGTTTACATGTCGGTTTCAGGTCATTCGGGATATTGCATTTTAATTTTCACACCAAATGTCATCTAGGAAGGATTTTAATTTTTTATTTCTCAATGATACTTTTTATTCAGATAAGTGTTTACTCTTGGTAATTTCAAAAATTATTATCTATAATTGCTTGTATTTTTTGTTGTTTTTGTTTTTATTTCCATCATAGTTTTCAAAGAGTCCCTAGAGTACTAGTAAGAATGACTTTTAAGTGGCATTAAACCATGTTGCAAGTTTTTGGTTTTATATTCTAGGAGCACATCTAGGAGTGATTTTATATTCCATGCAGATAGATTGGTAAGTAGAAAATTCTGAGTTTAAAATAATTACCATTGATATATGGTCTCACTATAAACACTGAAATGGCATGAAATAACACCTTGATATTGCTTTAAGCATCAAAATAACTTACTATTTGGATACTGCACCCAATAATGCATTTGCCTTGAACTCAATAATATGTTTATCAAGTTGTTGGTCAAGATCTGTACAGGAGAAAGATTTTTGCAGCTCTAACATGAGTTCGAACTCCCACATCTGAACCTCTGCGAGGAGCCATAAATATTTTCAAAAAAACATTTTACAAGCCAGATATTATTTCATGCACAGTCAGAATAACCTTTGCAATATTTCTGTTAGGAATAGAAGAACGTCATGAATTGTCATCAGATTCTTAAATATCAAAACCTTCAGTGTTGTAGATTTGAAACCAGTTTTGCAATTAAATTGTATAGATCTGGCCTGGATGACCAGTTAAAAAAAATTACCTATATTGGAAGATGAAATTATGTAATCTTTAACTGTATTTTATTTCTTTGCTGGCTAAAATATGTTTCTGTCTTCATTCTTTTCTGTCTTAGATCCGTCTTGTTGTAGAAGAAGGTTTGAATCAGCTGCCTTATACGAAATGTTCAGTTATTACTCCCACAGGTGAGGACATGTCGGAAGATGCTTGTGTGAAGGCAGATTCACACACACACACGCACACACACACCATCATATCAGTTATACTTGTACAATAAGGAAGAGTTTTCTAAGACACTTGTATACACTTTTAAAATGCACTCAAAAGAAAAAAAGTCTACTTGCACAGAATGAGAGAATACTGTCATAGTGTAAAGACCATCATTACATATTAAAAGGTGTTTGGGCTTTTTATTGCCCGTCATTTTTATTGAACTTGTCTAATATTTCAATGTAATTACAGGGTATCCATACGATGGACTGAAGTATGAACGAGGCAATTGTGGAGTCAGTATTATGAGGAGTGGTGAGTTTGATTGATTCTAAGCATTGTTTTCTTAGTAGCAAGTAATACATATCACAGTTATACATAAGATGAAATAATGAAATTCTTTTTCCAATGTATATTTAAAATGTTTGTTAGATCTTGTATATTTTTTTTTTGTTGTTTGAAGTAATTCAAGATTGATTGAAATAAGATATATAAATACCTTCCTTTTCATTCCATGAATTTTTTTAATTTAGCAACATATTTTTTAATCATACTTAATGCCAGACTAAGCTCATAAAAAGGTACAAAAAAAAAAAAATACATAAATACTGTACTATCAGTCACACAAATGAAGAATTTATCCAATTTTCTAGTACATTGAGGTAGATGTTAACAGCACAGTTTTCATGCTNATTTGATTAACTAGAGTATTTATCTGAAATTCTCTATGCTAGCCTAGCATACATCTGGCACTTGTTGGATGAATAAACAAAGATTGAACTTTGGTCTCTAATCAGACTCATGTTTTTCTCTTTAATTTGGGCTGCATCTGCAGTAGTATTTAAAATAGGCTAGCTCATTATTATAACTATTGACTTTAAACAGTTTTAAATTTATTATTTTTTTAAGCCATGGTCAATATTTCAATTGATTGGACAATAAATGCTTAGTCTTGGATAAAAGTAGAATAAAATTTCAGCCTCAAAGTTCAAAGTTATGCACAAAGTTCTGTTTAAAACTGTCCCCAGTCTTAGCGTATTAGAAAAATAAAAGCTGCACATCCCAATTTCAGACACTCGTGAGGATGGCGACGGGTGTAAATCAAGTAAGATGTAGTGGTCTATAGTTGATTTTCTGTATGTGTAGAGCACAATTGAGGGGAGGGGGGTGCCAGTGATTTTAAAGGGTGGTCTTTTCCAGATAAAATGTACCTTTTTTTACCCCCATTGTTGTGACCAAATTGTAATTGGTTCCATCAAGAAGGAAAGCTGACTGTGACTCTACAGTGGGGCTCTGTAAGGGGATTTTGTGTCTCTCTTCCATGTGGTAGTATACAAGTGAGGCCCTGGGAGGGGGCTCCTTAAGAGGGGCTATTTGACCACGTGTTGGGGTTATTAAGAGTCGGGGTCTGTGGAAGGGTTGTCTATAGGGCAAATTGTGTGAATGGCTTTAGGTTAGTATTTGAAAAGGGACTGTCATAAATGTTATACTTTGCAGTGGTGTTATAAGTGTATGTATTTGGGTTCTACAAAATCTATCTATACAGTATTAAGACCCTTTTCATATGGAGCCATATACTTGAGCAATACAGAATGTACTAGTACACTTTGAAAGATTTACGACTTTATAGCCTGACTGGTATGTTAAGATTACAACGCATCCAGAATATCTCAGCACGGCTTTTAATGCTACAGCCTAGGGATTGCCATATCACTCCATTTTTAAAGTATCTGCACTGGTTACCAGTTAGGGCCAGAATTTTATTTAAGGTTTTAGTTTTTACACATGCTGCTTTTTATAATCTTGCTCCACCATATAGAACTGATCTAGTCAAACATTATAGCCCTCAAAGATCCCTGAGGTCTGGTGACAAACTTTTACTGAAAGTTCCAAAATCAAGGTTAAAGGCATAATAACTCTTTGTATGAGACCTATATTTCACAATAAAAACCTTGTGAATAACTCATAGAAATATAATATATTCTGTTTTACCACAAAAACAGCAGTTATAGCTTTTATTCTGATATTTGAACTTGTCTTTAGACCACTTGACCTCCATTGATGTCTATACTCTGTTAAAATCTCTTAAGAGATTTTAACAAAAAACCCAACTTTTTAGAAAAAAACCAGGGACTAACTTTGAATGTAAAAATGGATTCATTAACTATTGGTAAGCATGGGAAAATTGTTGTTTACTCCAGGAAAATTCATTTTTTGGCCGAAACGAAGAGTTATTATTGCTTTAAAATCATATGGTGGCATATCATTTTGTGTAGCTGCACCAGTAGAATGGAATAAGTTGCCAATTTTTATTAGACAAATAGGATCACAAGAATCTTTTAAAAAGGAATTAAAAACTCATATTTTTAAGACATTTTATTCATGAATTTTAAATTTTACAATTTTAAAGAAACCTTGGATTTTTACTTTTAATTACTGTTTATTACAATTTAGTTTAGCTCTTATTTATATAAAATATATCTAACCATTTTTATCTATAAACTTCTTTGTATTTTATGTTGTACAGTCTATTGAACATTTTATGGATTTAATACTTGAAATAAATATATTATTATATTATTATTAAGGACTCACTTAAATGGAGCCTCTGCTTTTTAAACAAACATTTAATTAACTTGTCTTAACAGCAAAAAGCACACCTGAGTCAAATTTGTAAAAGGGAGTAAAACCCCCTGCAGTGTTATTGCATGTTAGCACGTCTCAAAGTGTACAAACTGTATCGCTGAAGTATACCACTTAACACGAAAAGGGCTTTATATGAAGTCGGTTGGTTGTGTGTATGTATATATAAGGCTCTAAATGGATGTTTTTATGTGTGACTTCATGGATTCTTACATGTTTTGTCCAAAACGGCTCTCTTCTTACTAGTAACAGTATTAAGTTTCAGTTGGCATGGTTGTCATTCATCCTGTCCTCCAGGTGTGGCCTTTTTTCCTTCCTGTTTCTTGTGCTCTAGACTTTTTTACGTAAACGGCAGTTTTTTTTGGTTTTTTTTTTTTACGGTACAGAAATTAAGTTGACAGATATTTGAGTATTTCATTATACATTTTAAAGAAAAGTAACTGTGGTGAATATGTTATTGGCACAAAGATTACAAGCTACAAACAAAGTGAAACTCTTATTTGGTAAGCTGCTTGATATTTTTGGATGGACTAAAAATAGACATGGGATATATTAAGAGGGATTTTTAAACCACACATTACAAATTATTTATCAGTTCAATTTTTATGATAATACACAGTGCTATACTCTGCATAGCCTTATAACTCATTGCAAATCATAGATGGTCTCTAACAGATATTGTGCAACTAACTTTTCTTTTGTTTTATTTGAAAATTATTTAATCTTTTCTAATGCAAACCTTTGTGTTATGTAAATACACAAGTGTATAAATTCCTGTCCCATAGTGACCAAGGTATTCATTCCAGTAGTTTATAATTATGATCATTTCAGGCACTGGTAACACTGTGATTCAAGCCATTAATGTCCTCAGAGAGCACGAGGTGAAAGAACACAACATTATTATTCTGAATCTCTTTACTACACCTGCAGGTAAGATAAAAAGACTTGTTTTAAATAGGGGCAGCCTAATTTTGTACCACTGGCTTTGTTGGACATGGAAGTGTGGTCCTAGTTTAAATTTGTAAAGAAAAGCATAGACCACACTTGGCTGGTGGGACTGTTAAAGCACTCTTCTGAAGACATGCACTACTATAAGTGGAGATTCCCAGTCTGGTCTTGTTTTTGACCCTTGGCCCATTTTCAAGGTCATGGTGGTTGTACTTTTTTTGGGCACTGTGAGATATGCAAGACAGTTTGCATCAGCACCACCTTGTAGCCTTGTTTGTAAAATGTACAATGATGACCTTTTTTATTTTAAAATAGCAATATGATCCTTAAAATTTCCCATCAGGATCTGAAGTGCTATTATCATGACCAAGGTCTAGTAAATAGACTGAAAGCTATCATTAAAAAAGTTTTTATTTATTTATTTATTTATTTATTGTGCCTTATTATCCATCAGTTAAACTGTTCTCTTTGGTCTTCTGTTTCCAGCTGTCAGATCTGTACTCCAAACATTTCCAGAAGTGAAACTGTTGACCTCCGAGGTCCACCCTGTGGCTCCAAATCATTTTGGGACCAAATATTTCGGAACAGACTGAGAAACACCCGTGATTGGTTGACCACATCGAGGCCAAGTATTTTGTGATGACGAGCAAGACGACAGCAATTCATGTTTTGGCCTGCAGAGCCAGTTTAATGGACAACTTTTTCAGTTCTCTGAACACTAGCAGTTGGAACATTTTTCCTTGCTTGAGGATGTCGTGGTCCAAGGCCTACCTCAGAATTATGTCAATATGAATGATTGGGGGACAATAAAGCTGAAAGCTACTGTCAGGAAATTGTTGGTTTAGTCAAGTAGTAGAAGAGCTAATGTGCAATTTNGAATCATACTTAATTCTTGGGAGAGTTCCAATTTTAATCACTTTCCCTGTGTTTCAGTATGGAATCCTAATACTTTCAAACTTTATTGGCATTTATTTATTATTAATAGGGCAAGTCTCATACTTGAAAGGGGTTCATTTTGATATATTGAGGCATGGTAACCTTAATATGTTTCAAGTACAAACTCTCATTGTGTTTATATATGAGTTTGATGTCATACACTGGAAGCCAGAGTGAGCCTTTTACTTGGAATTTCGTCCAGTTTCATCCATCGGTTAATGCATATGAGCAGCATCTCAGTAAAAAAAAGTATTTCTAATGGAATATTCTAGCAATTCATATATTAAATGCATGTGTATTAATTATTTTACTACCATTCATATGGGTACTAATATGTATCTCAAAGTTGATTTCTGATTCTCTTGTCAACTGAATGGGGTTCATTGACTTAAGTCTGAAACTCTGACATGTGTAATGAGTATCAGATGCCTTTTTCTATATACAGTTTCAGTTTACTCCATGGGCAGGTTTCACAAGGTGGTATAAGCTGAAAAGTAACTTTAAGTTAAAATATTTGGACAGTTGATAAGTAGCCAGTCACTTACGCATATTGGGCTCATTTCAAGAAACAAAAGTTGTTTGAAACACATGGCTAGTGACAATGAGCTATTACTGATTATGGGCCAAAATGGACTCAAATGTTTGGTGTAGGCCGAATTTTCTTCCAGAAGCTGGGTCCATAAATTTTGCAAAGCAATCTGGCAGAACAAAGGCAATAGCACATATTTCAGATGTTTTTTTTCCCCTCAGGAATTCAGAATGGAAGGACATTAAAAGGAAATTGACAGTTCAGCCACATTTTAGTTGCAAACCAATTCCAATGCATTTGATGTTTTATTCAAATGGAAAATGTATTGATACCGTGAGAATATGAATTGAAGAGCCCTAAATATATATCTGGTCTTCATCAAAATGTGCATGGTATAGATTTTTTCTTGGAAATCAGGTATTCATCAAGATTATTGAAAAATGTTTGTAAGCAGTTAAAAGTGTAATAAAATGATTTACAAGGACTCTTGATACGTATTTCTGTTATCATTGTTTAATTGGAAGCTGAATAAATCTAATGTTTTATACGTGAAATTAAACTTTGATGCTTGATATGTGTGTGCAGACACCTATTTTAAGGTACAAATTACACCAGTGCGGTCATGGAGGTGCATGTTAATGATCATTTTCCTCAAATGTTATTTTAATTGTCGCATTTCACTATTTACAATAATGTTTTAATAAATGTCAAATATTAATGAAACTTAACGCGACTCAATTAAAATTTGTGTGAGTAGATACCCTGGGGTGAGAAGCTATCGTTAAAAGATTGTCTCTCCAAAAAGAAATACCACTGAATGTGAGGTTTTGGTTTTCCATTAATATACAATTTGAATATTGTTTTATATTTGAGGGGGAAACGCCCACTTCGTCTTGATATATTTGGATTCCCTTAACGCTAATTATGTGTGGGGAAACTGATACTATTTAACATTTTTCATAATTTGATTACAATGAAGATCTCAAAGAGACCGACAACTTTAAGAAGAAACAATTACGCATGAGACGAAATACGTCATTTGTTTGTTTACGTCTACCTTGTTTATTTTGGGGTTTTTAGGATCTCAGAAAGGTATCTCACTCCCCAAACACATTACTACAATAGTATGTATGTCGCAACTGTAGCAATGCGTGGCACTATCTAGGGCACCTCTGTAACAATTAAAGGCACCCTTCACCGGTGACACACTATTAGGGTTTAAGTACTGGTTTTTGAGTCAATCTTGTCTTAGATGTTGAGACAGGTGACTATCACTCGTGACGGTAGAAATTAAAATTTAGACATCGAAAAGAGGTTTCTAGATAGCAATTTTCTCAGCAGTTTGAGATGTGATACGTCTTGGTGATAAAAAAGGGGGTAGAAACTTCCAAAGTTTATTTCTATATATATTTTTCAGTCTTTTTTCTACATATATATCCTGCACACGAAAGCATTTCTAAAATTTTTCAAACACACACACACACACACAGCTTTAGCCCTAGCCCTAGATGAACCAATATATGTCTGTAGGTTTAAATGACGCCTGTTGTGAACGCAACTTTTATCTATAGGCAAGGACGCTAATCAGCCGACTAGTAGCTACCTTGACCTGTCGATGACCAAGTTTGGTCACAAGATAGGGAAACAAGAAGAGCCGTGTTAATCTGTTAATCTGATTGCTTTCAGCGAGAGTCCCCGCGGAGTTTGATCGATGTACATAGATAGTTTCAATGGGAATGGACCCTTAGATATTAATCCTCGTGAGCACCCAATCTGACCAACATCTCCCACTAGTTGCCGATATGGGGCGCCATTTGAAACAGCTTGCGCTTCCACGGGCCTCAACGTTGCCTACATCTGTAAAATGAGTTAGGCCTCAACAGCTATGGTCCACTGACTCAACGGGGACTCTCGCTGAATGCAACCATTCTTGATCACCTATCCATCGTTGGCCTGACGTTATGAAATGCTTTGTGAACGCACTTTGCATCAACTCTCGACGTAGGCCAAGAGACCGAACTAATCAAATTGATACCAGCTTACGGCCCTCTATATACTGTATACGGCAGCGAAAGACTGTGCTTCATCGAAATCAAGACCAAATAAAGATTAAAGGGTTTTATTACTGTTATCTTTATTTGTTTTAATCAACGAGTTCCAATTATCAATGAGAACAATAGGTAGGGCCTAAATGGATGCTTTCCAAGAAGGACTTGAATCAAGAGTGAAAAAACATGGGATTTCCGTGATATTAGAAATAGCCACGGATCAAATGGTTACATTGACTGTTAAAAGGGCTAGGAGACACTTCAGCGGGGCAATTCCCTTGTCTTTGAACTATATCGAAGATTACATCACACGCCATATCACCGGGTCTACTGCAGTTAATAATTAATTCTAAGGTCAAACTACGTTTGCACTCAAAACGGCGTGCTTCGGTTATATCATAGCAATGTGCGGATCGATTTAATAAAACATATAAATGAATATTATATATATTTTATATATTAATCAATATTATGGTTGTAAAGGCATACTCTCCCCCATCTATCTTTTGAATTTATTTGCTTCAGAAATATTTCTCTTACTACAATTATCCTAAGATTTCATTTACCTGATTCTAATTTATCATTTTGCACTTTACTTCAGTTCGGTTTTACTAGTAGGCATATTATGTGGGTGCATCAGGGGCCAGTTGGTTCGTTCTCTGACCCGTTAAATTTAATAACACTTTAATATGGGTAATGCAAATGCTACTGGTCGGCGAATTTTTTCTTGTACACGACAATAATGTCAGCCTCTTAGAGACCATTCCCACAGATATTTGGATCGATCTATCTCCCTGGGGAGTCTCACTAAATTGCGATCAACTTAACCGGCTTAAATGACTGTCACGTCTAGTAAAGCTGTTAGGGGGTAATTATCTTTACCCCTAGCTGATTCGGTGGGCGTGACAGGCAATTAAGCCTCTTGCGCTGATAGCAATTTTGCGTGAACCCCCCAGGGAGTTAGGTCGATTTTTAAGGTTCATCTTGTCTGGGTCGGCCGTAGCTAGATCGCAGGAAAGGAATCAAGTAATTGGTGATTGTAAGGAGTGCGCAAGAAGAAAGTGCGTAGAAAGTACGTGAGGAGCACAGCCCCCGCACGTCAGAAGTACCACGTGTCCCGTGCGCCCCATGCATGCAAAGTACAAGCATCGTGCACTACGTACGTTATCCGTACAAGGAGTACGGGCAACGCAAGGGCAACATAAGTGGACATGGGGCAGTCTTGCTGCTTTCCTACGGTTGTTGCTCGTCCTTTGCACGCGACTCTTGCGTGTTGAGATTTTTTGGGGGCGGGTATAATGCAGTGCATGTTTGAGGAGATCATTATATTCGCAGCAGTGTTCAAAGATGGTGAGCCCAATCATACCTGTCTTGTTCCCTTTCCTCCTCCTCTCTCCTTCTTGCTCTTTGTTGTCTTTTTAGGCATTTTTAAAACTTGACATCTAGGGCAGAAATAATGCTCCTCCTTTTAAACCCTCAGTCCGTGGGAATGGAGTGAGCACTACTCACTCAAATGCACGAAGTCCGTGAGGTCCACACAGTGGGCACGTGGAAGTGCGGAGTGAGCACGGAGTGATCAAACAATAAAAACGTGTATCGAGCGCCTTAACCACGTGCACCGCTCGCACCGTAGCCACCCAAGCGCAGTGGGGAAAAAAAGAATTTCCTTACGTGTCCCGTACGACAGGCGCAAGACAGGTGAACGCTACACGTTTGCATGTCGTACTTTTCTCATTTTTTTGAGAATTCGTTGACCGCACGCACGTTGAAAAATCTCTACGTGCTGTCTGCGGCCTTCAAAAGTTGCACAATGGACGTGCTTCTCAAGAAATCCAACGTTTTCCCCAAATTTTTGGCCGTAGACCTGGCGTAGAAGCCCGTACGTTGGGTTGGGACCCAGGCTTTAAGATTTCAAAAAAAAAAAAAATCGCACGGACAATTTCATCGCACGGCGCCTGTGTAAATGTAATCTAGGCTTTACTTGGAAAAGAGCAGAAATAACTTCTTTAACTTTGACAGTTACGGCATGGTAACGTGACAATATGCCATTTTATATCATGGCTAACTTCCACCTTCAAACAGACTCGCAGTTTTCAAATGGTTTGGGTCTGTGAACAGAGCGGACAATGAACTCCGTAAATAAATCACCTTTCAGGTTTCGGCGCTCAGCTGCCGGTACTGTACGCGACAACATCACAAGCTTTTATGTCTGTAAAGTCAAGGCGTTAGATATGTAATTTCTTGGTAAAAGGAAGCGGGTTATGGACATGGGGACAAATAGAACGATGTGTTCCTAGGACAGACAACACTGGGAGTCTTTATTAACGCCTTTGTGTGCTACGA